ACAATTGGTGAGGACACACACACACACACACACACACACACACACACCCACAACACACACACATTTACAGGTTAAAGGTTTCCTAACTTTTAATTGGAAGCTAAGAGCTTTACCCACTCACTCATTTGAAACATTTTTTTGTTTGAGGTAATGAATAAGAAGTTTAAGGACTTTTAATAAGGCTTTCGATAGGTTCCACACGAGACTTTTGAGGAAACTTAAGGCACACGGAATAGGAGGAAAATTTTTTTTCCGGGGAGAGGGGATGGCTGCAAATAGGGAGCAGAGAGCTGATAAATGGGGAGAAATCAGAATGGGGGCACGTCACAAGTGTGTTCCCAAGGGGGCGTGTTGGCCCCTTGTTGTTGCAATTTACATAAACGACATAGATGAGGGAATAAATAGCGACATAAAATTTGCTGATGACACCAAAATAGGCCATCCAATTCTTTCTAATGAGGACACTAGAGCACTCCAGGATGATTTGAATAGACTGATGCAATGGTCGGAGAAGTGGCAGATGCAGTTTAATATTGATAAATGCAAAGTTCTAAATGTTGGACAGGTAAATAACCATGCCACATATAAACTAAATAATGTAGATCTTAATACTACTGATTGCAAAAAGGATTTAGGAGTTCTGGTTAGCAGTAATCTAAAACCAAGACAACAGTGCATTAGTGTTAGCAATAAAGCTAACAGGATTCTTGGCTCCATATCAAGAAGTACAAATAATAGAAGTCCTCATGTTGTTCTTCAACTCTATATATCCTTGGTTAGGCCTCATTTAGAAAATGCTGCTCAGTTCTGGTCACCGTATTATAGAATGGATATAAATGCTCTGGAGGATGACAAAGATGATCCCATGTATCAGAAATCTTCCCTATTAGGATAGACTGAGGGCCCTGAATCTGCACTCTCTCGAAAAGCGTAGAATTAGGGGGGGATATGATCGAGGTGTATAAATGGAAAACAGGATGTAAATAGCGTGCTGAAAATTTCCAGCCAAGACAGGACTTGCAGCAGTGGTTTCAAGTTGGAAAAATTCAGATTCAGGAAGGATATAGGAAAGCACTGGTTTGGTAATAGAATTGTAGATGAGTGGAGCAAACTCCCCAGTACAGTTATTAAGGCTAAAACATTGCGTAGTTTTAAAAATAGGTTAGATAAATAACAAAAAAAGGCACAATACTGTGACTGGAACGATTTCATCTTGTTGGTATTATATACCATTCTTGTACTACTACTACCACCACCTCTTCTTGCCTATATATAGCCGTCCTGCTCCACGTCTGGTTAGTGTGACTTTGTAAATGGTCCAAGTCGGACTGAAACGTCGTCGTAAGCTTCTCTCTTTTGTGTGCGGGTTGTTTGTGTATAGGCTAGATAAATACATGAGTGGGTGTGAGTTGGACCTGACTAGCTTGTGCTACTGGGTCTGGTGCCGTGCTCCTTCCTTGAGTGGAGGTGACCAGACTGGGTGGGTCATTGGGCTAATCCATGGGGGGGGGTCATTGGGCTAATCAGGGGGGTGGGGCATGGACCTGCTTCACATGGGTCAGTAGGCCTGTTGCAGTGTTCCTTCTTTCTTTTGTTCTTATGTTTGGAGTCAAATTTCACCCCAAGGATATCAACTTCTTCTCCAGGTGCCAACATCCTCCCATTCTTCCTTTCTACTGCACCGGCATTACCATCATGGTGCCTAGAGACCATCATCATTTGCGTTTTCTCAGGTGCAAATGTTACTTGCCATCTATTTCCCCAAGCTGATATAGCTCTTAGCTGGTGATAGATGTAGCTTAGAGCAGCTGGCATTTCTTCTCTTGGATAAGTGAATGTCAGCGTACAGTCGTCTGCATGTGCATCGGATTCTGGGATGAGATGAAGAAGGTCATTGAAGTAGACATTCCATAACAATGGTCCCAGCACACTTCCTTGTGGAACACTTGCCCCAATAGGATGTCTTGCTGATTCCGTTCCATTAAGAACCACCCTTAGAGATCTACCATGAAGGTAATCACTGAGGAGACATAGCGTAGAGCCTGCAATTCCCAGTGCTTTAAATTTTGCTAAGA